TCTCTCTCTTCCCCTCCACCCTCGTCCACCCTGCAGGCAGCAAAAGAGACCTTGGCCAAAGCTGTGCTGGCGGAGCTGCCGCAACAAGTTGTGCAGTATTTCAAGCATAAAAACCTGCCCCCCACCAACTCAGAGCCCGCCTGAGCTCCAGGGCCCAGCAGCATGTCGGCTGAGCCTCCCACCCTCCCCCAGGAACATGCATGCTCACCCTGCTTCCTTGTGGGTGGCCTTTTTTTACCAATCCAGATCCACGTTTTTATTTTTTACAACCGGACCTCCACCCCCAACTTCCTCCAGCCCAGCTGGGCTTCCTTTGTTGGAGTCAACTGTTGATGCTTCCAGGCCAAACCGGCTTCCTCTCCTCCCCTCCCCACCCTTGCCACTCTTAAGTATTGAATGTACTTTGTATAATTTTAGTGGAATTATTATTGTTATTGAGAATAAAATTTTTACAATCACAACTGGCTTTTTCCAAGTAACTAGCTGCACACTCTGATGAAAGGAACGTGTGTCCTTGGTGTATACTTCGTGTCGTAGCCTGCATCTAATTCCTGCTGGGGTTTTTTTGTTTTTTTTGTTTTTTTTTTTTTAAATACTGTGACTGTGTTCTATTCGTTATATACTCAGGGTAATAAACGAGTTTCAGACGTCCCTTTGTCAGCTCTGTCGTCAGCAGGGACCTGACAGGCTCACTGATCTGAGAAAGGAAATGTAAAGATGAAAATCCACCCCGCAAGCCCGCTAAGTTGCTGTAGTCACTTCTGCATGGGGACATGCATTCTACATGATAACCTGTTAAATCACTGCCAGCTAACAGTGATAACCTGTTAAACTGGCATAGAACCTGGCACATTGTACAAACTCAGTAAATATTTGTGGATGAATAGAATGTGCAAGCCCACACCAGTTTCTGGTTGGTTCCACTCAGGTGCAGCCAGTACCACATATCCCTACCCCACAACTGGACAGCAGTCCCAGCCACCCATCTGCCCCTTGGGGCCCCCGGGTGTTTCGGTCAGCCACTGGAGGTCTATGAAAGCCTCTCTGGCCTCAGGACCCCAAGTGGGGCTGCTTCTGACCCTGTTGTTTCTACCACATCCCCCCTCTCTGGGCTGAGGCCCAATTTTATGATACCAGCCAGTAGACCCCTGAAAGTTCAGCTCCCCTCCCAGGTCCCCCGTTTCTTCCACATAACACCTCTTTCTCTTTTATCCACCTGCATGACTCCTGCTTGGAGCTCCAGGTAGCCCCTTAGACACGGGCTCTGTGTAACCAGTAGCAGCTAACCTTCCTATTAAGCATGGTTTCCAGCTCCGTGTTCAGTGTTTTGCAGGCACTTTTTGGAGACTCTGTCATCGAGGCTGGAGTGCAGTAGTGAGTAGCTGGACCACAGGCATGCACCACAACGCGCAGTTTTGTAGAGACGGAATTTTGCCGTGTTGCCTAGGCTGCAAGCACTATCTTGATGAACCCTTCCAAGCCCTTGACAGTGACCATTTCAGAGATGAGACAAGCAGAGAGGAAAATCAAGTCTACTAGAGGCAGAGCCAGGTCTCATACCCAAGTCTGTCTGCCTCCTTGGCTCACACTTGCTTCAGTGAGCTGAATGCCTTCCCTTGGCTCTGGATGGGGTTCTTCTGCTCAAGCTGCTAATGAATTTGTCACTCTGTGCCACTGACATTGGGAAGTCAATTGTCCCCACCAACTCTCCTGGTAATTCTTACTAGGGCCTGCTAGGATTGAGCACTGCAGCACATAGATTCCCACCTTTTAGTTCCTGGTGAGCTCCAGCCAGAGTTTTTCTGGTGGAAGTAAGTAAGGGATACTTTCATCCTAAGCCTCTGATGCCTTTACTGATTCTGTGGCCACCAAGAGTCAGCTGGAGGATCTGTTAGGGACACTTCTCTCTGGAGGGCCGTAGGACTGCACAGAGCCCTGATGTGCAGACTGTCCCTCGGAAAACCACAGAGCACTGGCCCCCAGGCCGGCAACATGGGTGGAATCCCACACCTCCTTTACAGCCTCCCGTGGGAGTGACTTACAAGCTTGGTGAAAGTAGGAAGGCTGCTATCCACTGGGCTGTGTGAAGGCGAAGTCCCAACCTTGCAGTGGGGGTCTGTCCCACATGCTCCCACTCACAGGTCACTTCCTCAGGTGTGGTGGCTGCGGACCCTATCTCCAGGCTTCATGTGGCGGCAGACCCAGCCCTCTCTGCTCTCTGCCTGCTCCTTCTCTGCCTAAGGAGTGAATGGGTAAGTCAAGCAGGCCCTTTACTCCAGGCTGGCTTCAGTTCAGAAGGGAAAGGAATGTGTCTAAACTCTTGACAAGGCCAGCCAAATCACTTTTTTTTAATTTTCGAGACAGAATCTCACTGTCACCCAGGGTGGAGTGCAGTGGTGCAATCTCGGCTCACTGCAGCCTCCACCTCCCAGGTTCAAGTGATTCTCCTGCCTCAGCCTCCCAAGTAGCTGGGACTACAGGCACATGCCACCTTGCCTGGCTAATTTTTGTATTTTTAGTAGAGATGGAGTTTCACTATGTTGGTCAGGCTGTTCTTGAACTCCTGACCTCAAGTGATCCACCCGCCTCGGCCTCCCAAAGTACTAGGACTACAGGCATGAGCCATGGCGCCCAGCTCCAAATCACTTGTTAAAAAATCCAGGCTTTGGTGCTGCTACTTGGTTCCTGCACATGGATGGCAGGCTGGAAAGTGAACTTCGAAATCTAACTGGAAAGATTCCTTCACCCTTGAATCTCCTCCACGGAAGCCTGGGCACTGGCATTTGTTTAAGTTTCACTGAATCCACAGAAAGCTGGACTTGGACTTAAAGGCTCAAATGAAAATTCTGGTTCTGTCACTTAGCTACGCAACCTCAGGCATGTGCCCCTAGGAATTCTGATTTCCTGTACAATATAGGGAAGGGCTGCTTCACAGGACTTTTCTGCCCCAGAATCAAAGACACTACAGTCCACAAAAATAACACACAAATGCCCCAAACACCCTGGCACATACATAGCAAGCTCTCAGTATACACTGAACGAAAGAAAGCAACACAAGCAGTGATGTGCATGACTATTACTAAAACAGTAATGGAAGATGAGCCTGCAGTATAAAGCACAGGTGAAGGGCTGTCCCTCAGGTTTTTTTTTTTTTTCTTAAGATGGGGTTTCACCATGTTGGTCAGGCTGGTCTTGAACTCCCAATCTCTGGTGATCCGCCCGCCTTGGCCTCCAAAGTGCTTGGATTACAGGCGTGAGCCACCACGCCCAGCCCCTCAGGTTTTTCAGCCTCTGCCCTCTGCAAAGCTCTGATGCTTCGGCCATGTGCTGCCTGTTCCCGCTGTGAGGCCCCCTCTCTCCCTAAACCGCTGCTCCAGCAGGTAAGGGAGCAAAATGTCAGCCCCGGCCAGTGTCACTAAAGCACAAATGTGTGACTGGTTTCTGTGTTCAACCTGTGACTACAAAAGTGTTGCCAAGATCCCAGCCTCCCACCGAGCAGAACTTGCATTCCATCCAGTGATGCGTAAGTGGGTTGGGCAAGCGGAAAATACCCAAGTCCAAATAATCTGCACTGCCATAGAGCTCTCTCTGTTTTTCTGGAGGGGCCTAAGACGACAGCTGAGCCATATACCCACAGCTAGGACACCCGCGCCAAGGAACCGGGTGTGCCTAAGCAATTAACATTTAGCTAAGAGGGAAGCATACAGCAAAAGCTGGTGGTTGGAGCTTTGACGACCAGATCTGACCCTTTGCCCATGCCAGTGTTCTAGCTGGAACTGAGGAAGGCCAGTGGAATGGATAAACCTGCATAAATCGCCACTAATGGAAGCTCTGGCTATGCCACCCAGAAATGAGTGCTGATGCTAACAGCACCGAGGTGGCCACCGTCTGTCAGATACCGCACACCTGGCACCTAATCTAGGTTATCTCTATCTCCCTAGGAAGTTAGTGGTGTTATTCCTATTTACCAAAGAGGAAAGTGAGGTGAAAGGTCACACTAACCTTGCCCAAGTGACACAGCTAGTTATAGTTGGCTAACTCATAACCACTATGGTGGAACTAGGCTGAGTTCCCAGAGAGGAGCAGCAGAAACAGTGCGGAAGGGCTTAGGCAAATGAAGATCCTCTCTTGGGTGGGAAGGAGGTAGCCAGAAGGGAAGAACTCAGGAGCTAGAGTGAAAGGAATGAGGATGCCTGGCACTAAGTCACCCAACTTAGGGGCTCCTGACTCCCAGTCTAGAATGATCCTGAAAAAACCTGAAGCCCCCTGCCCCCCGCCCCCCAACCCCTTTGGATTTGAGGAGCCAGCTCTGCCTCTTGTGTACTTATTCAGGGAAGATATACACAAGTAGGTAGCCAGCCACCTTTTTGGGTCTAGTCACATCAGCTTCCCTGCTTTTTATAGATGGAAAAATAGATGCTTCAAATTTCACACTCCCTTTCTCCACCCAGGTGGGTGACAAGCTAGAGAATCCTCCCCAAACAGAGCTGGCAGTAGGATTTCTATTAGCTTTCTCCTTCATGTGGTTGAAGAGTGGTAAGAATTCTACCACTCAGGACAAAGTGAGCTTAAAGAAAACCATGCCAAACTTCGTTTTAGTCCCGTACTTACCCAGTTATAAAATCCCAATTACTAAGGCAGGAGTACGACACTTTATGGTTTAAAGCAGTGTTTCCTTCCAGCCCTGTTTATTCTATTCTCCTTTGGGTTCGAACTTCAAGGTCGACATTAGATGCTTTCCAAGGCTGCTTCCTTTGTTGGTCAGATCAGACGCTGCTTTGTTAGCTGCAGTTTTTACAGAAGCTCTGTTTCAGTTCCAGAGCTCTCTGCTAATGGGTACAATGGAACATGATATAATGATCACCAGTGATTCTCAGTCTCTCCTGAGACACCAGGAAGAGAAGTCACAGTCTGGAGAGTCTCAACCTTCTCAACACAATCTAGCTGAGAGAGATGGGGAGAGTTAGAAGCACAACATTCAGTAGAGGAAAAACAAGATGTTGTTCCTTGACAGGTTTATTAGCTTTCATGTTAATCTGTGTTTTTAAACCCTGTAACCCTTTGTCAACTTCTTTCTCTATCAAGAGGTCATAAAGTACAGTAATGGCCTCTTAAGAGTCAAGCCACATAAAGATGGCGACTTTGATGCCCTGGTCTGCCTCCTGTAACAATGTGAGGCTGTTTTGGGAACATGCTGTAATAACAACAGGACTATCACAGGAACAATGAAGCAGAGAAGCAGAAGGTGCCTACACAGTTTTACCTAAATGTCTTATTTGTTAGGATGGAGCTGACACACATGTATTGGCAGTCAGGAACAATTAGCATAGAGTAGTTCTGAAAAGGAGGAATAATTCACAAGGCATCAGTTATGGGTGCAGGGAAGTCACCATCTGCCAATGGGCACCGGAGTGTCACTGCACTGGAAAGGGAAAAGGAGTGGGCTGGATGAGATCCAGGGGCCTCTCTGCCCACATTCAAAGTTAGTAGCTGCTTTGCCTGCTGGCATCACAGTGTCAACACATTTTGTGTGTGTCTCGCTCAGTCTCACACCCAAGAAAGTAAAAACAATTGATGTAGGAACAAGAGGAATGGATAAAGAATGGTACAGGCTTATTCTGAAGCAGGAGAGCCTACGGACTGTTGTCAAAGCTCATGTCTACCTCTGTGCTCGAGGCCTCCACACCCTCTCCCCCTCCCTCCTCCAGAATCCAAGGGTTCAGCCTGTTTCCTTTGATGAGACAAGATGGAGGAGCACCTCTAGTTTTTGGCTGCTCATGGCCTCAGAGTTGCTGTTTGGAAAGGAAAAAGAGCAGCAGGGGCAGCAAAGAACAGTACTAGGGCAGCACCCTTAAGTTAGAAATAGATTCCACAGTTAAAAGCACAAATATAATATGCATTAAACAGAGAAGGGCCTCGATAGAACAGTCATAATATGCAAGTATGTTCCACTAGTTTACAATATTTGCATTCCAGAAGCTGCTGGAAATAAGTCATCTCATTAACATACCTACCCACAGTTCTGCTGTCTGGCTATGAGTAAACAAGGCCTACGTTTCTCTAAAATTTTGAATCTCAAACTAAATCCTTTATTTCAAAAACAAACATAAAATAATTTCCGAGGCAGAGAAAAGGTCTGAGAAGATGGAAGCTTTCTTCTTAGCAGTTCCTTCCTGCATAAATGGGGTTGGAGAGGGGAGAAGGAATGGCCAAGGGTGTGGAAAGCCTTCACAATGCATGCCGACTGTGAAGCGACACCCCCAGCAGATGGGGTTTAGCATCTCTACTTAGTCACACAACATCAAGGACTGGTTAGTTCCAGGGAAGGGCTCCATCTCATCACCTGGGTAAGTTTTCTTCGCCCGCATGCTCCACAATGCAGTAGATTCATCTATAATAGAATGTTTAAATAATAAACATTCATCTATAATAGAATGTTTAAATAATACCTGCCCAATAACTGCCCTTACTTTTTTGTGCTGTTGGAAAAGGAAAGAAAAGAAAAAAACGGAAAGAAATAAAGCCCAAACCCTTTGGCAAGCCAGCTGGTGCCTATCCTCCTAGGGCATTTTTAGTGGAACTTCAGCTGGGCCCTGCCCTCCTCCCCATGTCAGTGAGAAAGTGGTAGCGGGACAGGTTTGGTCATTCTGCACTGGAGTGGAAAGAGAAACCAAACACGATTTGGGCCGCAGGTAGATTCTGGCACGTTTTTAGATTGGGTTGGTTAAAAATGTCACGTTGTGCACAGGATGCAGGCAAAGGAGTTTTTTTTTCAGGGACATAATGTCTGCAGGTGGCATGAACAGTCCGATCTACCCTTGGGGAGGAGTTTCCAGCTTAAGCACAGAGAAACTAGGGGGCCTCGAGGAAGGTGTTGGTTCGGAAGATGGAGGAGACGATCTTTCCAGTGGCATTGATGGTGCCTTCGCTGTCTGAGCTGGACTCGGAGTCGCTGCTCCCAGAGTAGGCGCCCAGGCCTGGTAGGATGCCGATACAGACTGCAGCAGAGGGGCAGTGGATGGAGGGGCCACTCAGGGAAGTGTTTCCGAGAGACTTGCAGGATGAGGCCTCTACAACAAAAGGGGAAAGACTGTCACTTCATCACCCTTTTCCAAAGTTGAGGACTGACATACCATGTGCCAGGCACTGTACCAATGGCTTTTCCCACAGAGAAGCCTCAGAACAACCCTATGCCGCCAATACTATCATTGCCCTCAATTTAGAGATGGGGAAGCTGATGAAGGAAGGGAGGCTTCAGGAGGTGAAAGGACTTCTGAAAGTAAAGGGGCAGAGCTGAGACTTGAATCAAGGTCTTAACCCCAGAGCCTGACTATACTCTGTTGTTCTCCATCAGCTCTGAGTTGCAGAACAAGCTACTTCAGAGTGTAGCCTAGAGTGCTTTGATTTCCCTGTGCTCACACAGCCGTGAAATGGACACATGGGTGGGGAATGAAAGGCTTCCACATGCCCTCAACAGTAGGGATGAAGACAGATTAAGAGAGACACTGTGAGCGGTATTAACAATTCCATTAACTTCTCAGCATATTATGCTATTCCTTACTTACTGACCAATATGCCAGCAAGCACAGATACATTTTCAAGGCCAAACATCAGCTACACAATAACATTTTCTTTTAAAAAATGTTTAAAAAGGCCGGGCGCGGTGGCTCATGCCTGTAATCCCAGCACTTTGGGAGGCCGAGGTGGGCAGATCATGAGGTGAAGAGATCGAGACCATCCTGGTCAACATGGTGAAACCCCGTCTCTACTAAAAATACAAAAAATTAGCTGGGCATGGTGGTGCGTGCCTGTAATCCCAGCTACTCAGGAGGCTGAGGCAGGAGAATTGCCTGAACCCAGGAGGCGGAGGTTGTGGTGAGCCGAGATGGTGCCATTGCACTCAAGCCTGGGTAACAAGAGTGAAACTCCGTCTCAAAAAAAAAAAAAAAAGTTAAATAATTGGGCAGCCCCCAACACTGGAATAGGCTCAGAGGGACTCACCAGACTAACATTCTGTATTAAGGGCCATTTTTCCCTGATGGGAGAGTGATTCAAAAACTGATTTAACACAACCTTTGCTTTCCAGTTGTGTTCTTTTACAAATGAGAAAACTGAAGCCTGTCAGGTAACATTTTAAGGCCATGCAGAATGTCACCTAGGAGCTAAGACTCTTTTTCTTACAGGAAACCCACAGTTGTTCTGCCATCTCAATGACGAAGACCTCAATCTAGACAATGCAGGACTTGGTTGGGCATGGTAGCTCATGCCTACAATCCTAGCACTTTGGGAGGCTGAGATGGGAGGACCACTTGAGGTCCGGAGTTTAAGACCAGCCTGGGCAACATAGTGAGTCCCTGTCTCTACAAGAAAATGTTTAAAAAAATAAGTCGGTGCTGAGCACGGTGGCTCATGCCTGCAATCCCAGCACTTTGGGAGGCCAAGGTGGGTGGATCACCTGAGGTCAGGAGTTCAAGACCAGCCTGCCCAATATAGTGAAACCCCATCTCTACTAAAAGAACAAAAAAATGGGTGTGGCGATGCATGCCTGTAATCCCATTTACTAGCGAGAGTGAGGAAGAAGAATAGTTTGAATCCAGGAGGCACTACTAGTTGCAGTGAGCCAAGATCGTGCCACTGCACTCCAACCCGGGCAACAGAGCAAGACTCCATTTCAAAAAAAAAAAAAAAAAAAGTTGGGTGTGATGGTTGCGCCTGTGTCCCAGCTACTCATAAGGCTGAGGCAAGGATTGCTTAAGCCCAGGAATTCAGGGTTACAGTGAGCTATGATGGCACCAGTGTACTCTAGCCTGGACAACAGCGCAAGACCCTGTTTCAAGAAAAAAAAAAAAAAAAGGAAGAAGAAAGAAAATGAAGGACTTGAAGACTAAAGGGAAAATTAAGAACTCTACTCCAACCCTTCCCTTTTTCCCTGAAATGTTTCCAGCCTCATCTAATCACTACAATTTGATGTATAGGCATATCTTACTGATGTGGAAAGTCAAATCACTTGGCAAAGTTGTGGGTTGCTTAGGGCAGAAAATGTTAAACTAAATGTGAATTAAAAGATAACATACTAAAATGATCATCTGAGTTCACTGCAGAGTAAGGGTTGAAGTTCATAATTCATTGCCACAGGCTAACAAGCATACATCTTTTAGGGTTATGCCTTAGATGCGCTAACACCTCATTTACTCAGACATCTCAAGTAAATGTGAAAAGAATACACAGCTCCAAGTATAGGAAACCAGGAGTAAGCAAACAATACCACTGAGCAGTTAGAAGAGATATCAAACGGCCAGCACACAAAGTTTAGAAGATCAATGTATTTACTTGTTTGTGCAAGAAACTCTAAGAAGGGAAAAGGGAGCTGCTAAAGATAAGCAATGTTAAAATACAAAGATGGAGAAAAGTAAAATGAAAGCTGATAATGACTGCAGAGATAGTGAGAACAAGGCTACAAAAAAAGCCAAGAGCAAATACTTGCAACAAATATCACAAAAGCAAATTTCCTTAAGATACTAAGAGTTCTTCCCAATCTGTTAAAAAAACAACCAACAACTAAACAGAAAAGTGAACAGAAAACATGAACAGCTCACAGAAAGAGAAACACATGAATTTTAAACATAAGGGGGTAAACAATATATTAGGAGGAAATGTGTTGGGAACAGCAAACTTCATATGTTTTTCGAGGGTACAGAGAAATTTGGCAATGTTCTTCAAACTTAAATGATGTTCATAAGAGAAGATTCACTGCAGCACTGTTTACAGTAGTGAAAGACTATAGACAGCAATATGTCCATTAATAGATGGCTAGTTAAGTAAAGGACTACTATTCAACCATTAAGAAGAATAAAGTAGCTGGGCATAATGGCTCATGCCTGCAATCCCTGCACTGTGGGAGGCCAAAGCAGGAGGATCACTTGACCCCAGGAGTTTGCGACCAGTCTGGGCAACACAGGGAGACATTGTCTCTACAAAAAAATTTTAAAAATTAGCAAGATGTGGTGATATACACCTGTAGTCCCAGCTACTCAGGAGGCTGAGGTGGGAGGATCACTTGAACTGGGGAAGTTGAGGCTGTAGTGAGCCATGATTACATCAACCTGGGTGACTGCACTCCAACCTGGGTGACAGAGCAAGACCCTATTTCAAAAAATAAGAAGAAAGAAGAAAAAAGAAAGAAAAAGAAGAAAGCACCTCTGTGTGTACTATTATTGAATGATTCCCCAAGATATTGTGCTAAATGAAAAAGGCAAGGGGCAGGACAGTGTATGAAAGTTGTAATTTGGGAGGGAAGTGGACATGCCCATGTGTATGCATGACAGTGTCTACGAACAACACATAAAAACTGGCAGCAGTGGCTGCTCAGGGGAAAGGAATTAAGTAGCTAGAAAATGGGGGAGACTTACTTTTTTGAATTTTTTTTTCTTTTCTTTTTTTTTGAATTTTTCTTTTTCCACATTCTTTTGAATTTTTCTTTTATTTTTTTGAGAACAGAGGTCTCACTATGCTACCCAAGTTAAATTCCTGGGCTCAAGTGATTTTCTTGCTTCAGCCTCCCAGAGTGCTGGGATTACAGGAATGAGCTACCTCACCTGGCCTAAATGTTTTATTATGTGCATATATTACCAATTCAGACAATTTTTTAACACTTAGCTGTGCTTGGGTAGACAATTTTTTTAAAAAGCAAATACAAAAATTCAAAGAACATCCTAAGCCACTTAAACTAGGGAGGAATAGTTCCATTTATCTCAGCATCCCAGTATGAAAGCTAAGAAGGCAGAGGAGAAGGGTTGCTTGTTTGTATTCTCCACTAACTGTAAACCCCTTGAAGGCAAGAGCTCTTTCATCACCATTCCACTTCCAGGACATATAGCACAGGGTCTGGCTCAGAGCAGGTTTGCATTCACAAGGGTCAGAAGTCAGAACGCAGGAAAATGTGTTTACAGAGTTTCATTGCAATTGGCTAATTTGGGAGGAAAGGGTATAAAAATGTGATGCTCTTGTAACATTTGGGACATAACATCAATCATGACTTATATTACTTATGTATACCATATAGAATGATACTTTCAGCATTCTATTAGAAAAATTTGGTTGTTTTAAATAAAAAAAAAACTGGCCAGGAGTGGTGGTTCACGCCTGTAATCCCACCACTTTGGGAGGCTGAGGCAGGTGGATCATCTGAGCTCAGAAGTTTGAGACCAGCCTGGCCAACACTGGGGAACCCCATCTCTACTAAAAATACAAAAATTAGCCGAGTGTGATGGCGCATGCCTGTAATCCCAGCTACTTGGTGGCTGAGGCAGGAGAATCACTTGAGCCTGGGAGACGGAGGATCGTGCCACTGTACTCCAGCCTAGGTGACAGAGCGAGACTGTCTCAAAAAAAAAAAAATCTTATAAGGGTATATATATCAGTTACTTAGAAAACTAACTTATGTGAAACTGTTGAATGAGAGATTTCATTTTATCAAGTACAGTCACCCCTGCTTAATGATGGGGATCTGACCTGAGAAATGCATCATTAGACAATTTTATCATTGTGAACATCAAAGAGTACTTATGTAACCTAGACGGTACAGCCTACTACACATGTAGGCCATATGGTATATAGCCTATTGCTCCTAGGCTACAAACCTGTACAGCATGTTACTGTATGAATACTGTAGGCAGTTCTAATACAATGCTCAGGAATTGCATATCTAAGCATGTAGCTAAGCACAGAAAAGGTACAGTAAAAATATGGTATCATAATTTTATGGGACCACTGTTATATAAGCACCATTCATTGACCAAAATGTTGTTATGTGGCACATGACCATGTTTCAAGGATGAATGGAATTTAAAGGTCTATTTTACACACAAAAGAAGGATGAAAGTCAGAGTGCCTGTGGGGGTAGAGAGCTGGGATGGAAGTTAGCTACAGAAATATAATCAAGGAATCTAGACCACTGTGGCATCAGAAGAATTTACATGAAAAGACCAAATATCCCAATTATCTAGGAGGTTTCAAGAAAGAAAAGAGATTGCAACTCTGACAAATTTCATTCCAAAAGCAGTTAACTGTCCAAAGAGAACAAAATGGTGCCCTCTGATCTCACCCATTTGGTGAAGTTTCCTGCCAACTTCTGCATTTGCAGGACCACATTGTCATACCAAATTAACACAGAAAATTACTAATAGAGAATGTTCTTAGTATTCAGACAGATGCGTGACTTGGGAGTAGATGGGGCCAACTTGTGCATTCACTGGCTCTGCTCGGTGCTTAAGTTCAGAGTCTTCTGTGGGGGAAGCCTGAATCTCGATCAGTCATAGGGTTATCTTCTGGGGGCCCAAGGGGCAAATCCTCCTACTGCCAAGGGTAAGACTGAGGCAAGCCTCAGGGAGTGTTCTTTTTGTGGGGCCTTAACTCCTAGCAAAGGAGGACACTTCCTGCCTAGTTTCTGTTGCAAGAATGCAGAAGTAGGAAGAAGGGATTTAGAATGACAAAAAGATGGCTCTGAAACACAAGTGTCTGCCTGAGATAGTTCAAAGCCACACAAATTTTCCTTTCCAATTATTAATTCGTATAGTTCCTACCAGAAAATAAGCACCATGCAGAGGGCAACTAGTTTACTTGTGGAAATATGTTTAAGATTCCTATGCCAGAAGCATTTAACCCCAGCTACTCAGGAGGCTGACATGGGAGGATCACCTGAGCCTGGGAGTTTGTGGCTATAGTGTGCCATGATCGCACCTGTGAAAAGTCAAAGCACTACAGCCTAAGCAACAAAGTGAGATCCCATCTCTAAAAAAATTAAAAGAAAAATATTCCTATGAAGTTTTGTGTATGTTTATTCACATATGCAGTATACATTTATCCTATTTAACCAAGTTTCCTATTTATTAAAAAGATGTCAGTGAAAAAATTCCAAAATTGCTGATAGGAGTATAAACTGGGATAACTTATCTGAAGGGCGATTTGGCAATATTTACCTAAATTACAAATGTATATCCTCTCTGACCTATCAAGTCTACTTCAAAGCATTTAACCTGATATATTTGTGCAAGTGAAAAATTATGCACATGCAGGATTATTACTGAAACATCAGAACGGGAAGGATGGAAACAATCTAAGTGTTCAGTTAAAAAGTGGGATAAATATACTATGATATACCCATACAATATACAATACTATACAGCCTTAAAAAGGAACAAGGAAGCACTTTATGTACAATTATGCAATGATTCCCAAGGAACAATAACTGTTGAATTAAGCAATGAACAGAGTAGATTAGATTAAAATACTACTAATAATGAAAGTCTCAACACAATATATGATGTATTCTTGCTGAAAAAAACAACTTGATCAAGTTTCCAGATCTAATTACCTTTTTACAGTAGTAGCAGGAAACAGCATGGGGATGCAATCAGCTAAATCTAGAGCCTGAGAAACGTTTAAGAACAAAGACCCAGTTTCTCCACAAGTAAAATACAAAAAAAACAAAATATAAATTCAGAAAGAAAGAATTTAGAGATTAAATTTAAATTAAAAGGTATATTAGCCTATCGTTAAGATGATATAAGATGGCAATATTGCCAAAATCATCTACAGATTCCAAAAATTCCTGTATCAAAATCTTAGCTGCCTTTTCTGCAGAAACAAGCCGATCCCAAAATTCATATGGAAATGCAAGAGACTCCAAATAGCCAAAACAATCTTGAAAAAGAGGAGTCAAGTTAGACGACTCACACTTCCCAATTTCAAAACTTACTCCAAAGCAATAGTGATCAAGAGAGTCCAGAAATAAACCCATACATTTATGGTCAACAGATTTTTTTAAATATATAAACCACTGAGTTGTAACCCTTTATAGGGTGAATTTTATGGTATGTGAATTATACCTCAATAACTTTTTTAAAAAGCCATAGTAGCCAAATATAAGGTCTGGTCCTTGCTTAAATCATAATTTTTAAAAAAAAAAACTTTTTTTGAGACAATTGGAGAAAATAAATACTAAATCGCTTTTTGGTACTTATTGTTATTAATATAATGGTATTGTAATTGTTAAAACAAAGAAACAAAGTAAAAACTTATTAAGAATTATGAACGAAATGATATAATGTCCAAAATTGTCACAAAACATTACAGTTGAGAGATATAAATGAAATAAAATTGGCTATGTGTTAAAAATTGTTGACTGGTGTGGTGGCTTACACCTGTATTCCCAGCACCTTGAGGGGCTTAGGCAGGCAGATCACTTTCGGCCAGGAGTTTGAGACCAGCCTGGCCAACATGGTGAAATCCCATCTCTACTAAAAATACAAAAATTAGCTGGGCATGGTGGCACATGACTATAGTCTAGCTACTTCGGTGGTTGAGGCATGAGAATTGCTTGAACTGGGAAGGCAGAGGCTGCAGTGAGCCAAGATCATGCCACTCTACACTCTAGCTCAGGTGTCCCCAAACTATGGCCCGCAGGCCGCATTTGGCCCCCTGAGGCCATTTATCCCACCCCCCGCTGCACTTCAGGAAGGGGCACCTCTTTCATTGGTGGTCAGTGAGAGGAGCACAGTATGTGGCGGCCCTCCAACGGTCTGAGGGACAGTGAACTGGCCCCCTGTGTAAAAAGTTTGGGGACGCCTCCTCTAGCTTGAGTGACTCTGTCTCAAAAACAAAACAAAAGAAAACAAAACAAAACAAAAACAAAATTGTTGAAGCTCTTTCCGGTAGGAGATAGCTTATAAAGAAAAAAAGTCACTGAAGCTAGGTGATGGAGGTTTATTATACTTACCCCGACTTCTGAATACTGCATAAATTATTCATAATAAAGCATTTAAAAAATACATATTTACAATTGCTTGTATATCATAGAATAGCTCTCGATAGATACATAAGAAATGTGGCCAGGCTTGGTGGCTCACTCCTGTAATCCCAGAACTTTGGGAGGCTGAGGCAGGTAGATCATTTGAGGTCAGGAGTGCAAGACCAGCCTGGCCAGCATGGTGAAACCCCATCTCTACTAAAAATATAAAAATTAGCCAGGTGTGGTGGCACACACCTGCAATTCCAGATACTTGGGAGGCTGAGGCAGGAGAATGACTTAAGCCCAGGAAGCAGAGGTTGCAGTGAGCTGAGACTGGGCCACTACACTCCAGCTTGGGTGACAGAGTGAGACTTTGTCTCAAAAAAAAAAAAAAAAAAAAAAGATATAATTCTGTTTCCCTCTAAGAATAACTAGATGGGAGAGGATATGGATAAAAGGTAGACTCTTTAGCCGGGCATGGTGGCTCACGCCTGTAATCCAAGCACTTTGGAGGCCAAGGCGGGCAGATCACCTGAGGTCGGGAGTACAAGACCAGCCTGACCAACATGGTGAAACCCTATCCCTATCTTTTTTTTTTTTTTAAAAAAGGTAGACTCTTCCTTTTTATTATTACTATTTTTTTTTCTGAAAGAAAAGTAGGTTCTTTTTAAAAGAAGGTTCTACAGCAAAAGGGTAACAGCAATAGTCCACCACCACTGGCACTTAGTAGATGCATATTAAAAAGCATCATTATCTTTTTGAGAAAAATTATTGTAAGCCCTGTTGATCCATGGAATTTAGTTCCATGTCTCAACCCCACACAGAGTTAGAATAAAAATGAAAACACACTCTTGAATTTCTCATCCCTAATCCAGCCCCCAGTAACATTCACCTTCACTTACAACTTCTTGTCACTTTAAAGATACAGATTTCCTCACATAAAGGTAAAAACCAAGGAAGTATACTCTTGGAAACAATTAAGCTGCTAGGCTCAATCCAATCCAACAATGAACAGGAGCCAGGTATTTACCTCCCGTTAGGTAGCAAGCCAGGTGAAATCAAGAAACGTGACATTTGGGGGAAACAGAAAAAAACCTTTTGTAAGCAGAGGTGATATGACCAGGGCCTGGTAAGCATTCCTGGGAGAGTACTATTTTTACTGATCAGTTTCACTGTTTTCTACTGTAATAACTTTTGCAGGTATAAAATCCTGCCTGGTATAAACTCTTACCTGGCTGACAAAATCTTGCCTGGCATAAAATAGTTGGGTAAATTACATCTAGGTAGGCTTGCTTGAAGACAGAAATGTATTCATTTGCAGATGCAATGCATTCCAGCCCTTTACTGTGGTTCATCTGTATTCTGAGTATGAGAAAGTAATGAAGGCTGCCACCCACCTTGATTCTTGTCATCTGGCTCAGGGTCCGGTTTCAGTCTTTTCACACTGTTGCCACTCTCTGAGCTGCAACAAAACACATGGTGATATGAGCTATGTCTAATCTTGGGGATCAAAGCTTAGGGAATCAGGAGCTCCAATAACTACTTATATCGATCTTAGGCAGTCTCAAGAAGCTGGGATGATAAAAATGAATGAAAAGTATTCATTTCAGATTCTTAATCTCCTTCCAATTACATCATTAGTCACAAAGACAATTTAAACTCCTGACAAATCCAGGGAGTAAAGCACTGTATTTTCAAGCATCACTTCAACTTCAGATTCTTGGCCGTCTTTATCACTCAAATTGGTTAGAATCACAGATGGATTTCAAGAGTATTTAGACATGTTCACAAATGACAAACATTTAGTAATTACAGATTGAAGAAAACATCTTCAGTGACATGCTAGAGATTCTAAGAGTCACCCAAAAATTTCTTCACTAAAAGAATGTATAAGGAATATATTTCAGTAAAGAACGAAATGATCCCAGAAGGAAGGGGTGGTGAACAAAGAAACTGGCAAACACAAATATAAATCTAAACAAATACTGTCTGTATCAAAAAATAACATCTAGTTTGTGGTGTTCAGTATGACCATACTGAAGTCCTGCACAACAGCAGCATGTAAAGAAGGAAGAGGTGATTGTAGCTAAAGGTTCTAAGGTCCGTGGGAAGTATGTCTGGTAAATTTCAAGGCTGGCCACTATGAGAAAAAAAATAGAGTATGTAAATCTAACTAGTAGAAAGAATTTTATATCTCAGTCATTTTGTTAAATGCAAGAATACAAGTTAAAAAAAATTTTTTTTTAAGACAGAGTCTCTCTATTGCCCAGGCTGGAGTGCAATGGCGCAATCTCGGCTCACTAACCACCTCCCAAGTTCAAGTGATTCTCCTGCCTCAGCCTCTCGAGTAGCTTGGATTACAGGTGCCCACACCATACCTGGCTAATTTTTGTATTGTTTTGGTAGAGATACGGGGTTTCACCAGGTTGGCCAGGCTGGTCTCGAACTCCTGACCTCAGGTGATCCACCACCTTGGCCTCCCAAAGTGCTGGGATTACAGGCATGAGCCACTGCACCTGACCTCAGCCACAGTGCCTGCCAGGAAAAATATGTTTTTTAAGTCAAAAGACATTAATACGATAGAAATTATATTTTAAAATCTTACTATAAACTGACCAAATCTAATGAAAAGCTATTAATAGACTAAATTAATTATCTTATTTGTTTATTTATTTATTTATTGTGAGATGGAGCTTTGCTCTGTAGCCTAGGCTGGAGTGCACTGGCACAATTTCAGCTCACCGCAACCTCTACCTCCTGGGATCAAGTGATTCTCCTGCCTCAGTCTCCTGAGTAGCTGGGATTACAGGCATGAGTATTTTTAGTAGAGATGGGGTTTCTCCATGCTGGCCAGGCTGGTCTCGAACTGTTTACCTCAGGTAATCCACCCGCCTCAGCCTCCCAAAGTGTTGGGATTACAGGCCTGAGCCACCATGCCCAGCTTTAATAGACTAAATAGAACTCTTTACCTCAAGTAATCCACCCGCCTCAGCCTCCCAAAGTGTTGGGATTACAGGCCTAAGCCACGATGCCCAGCTTTAACAGACTAAATTTAAAAGCAACTATTTATAAGAGACACATCTAAAAACTTAACCAAAGTGAAACAAAAACAAACAACTTAATACCCAGAAAGTTTCAAAGTAAAAGAACTGAAAAAGAGATACTAAGGCAAATCACCTAAAGAAGGTTGAAGCACCAATATTAATATTAGGAAAATAGGCTTTAAGAACAGAAACACTGTAAAGGATTAGAAAGGTTACTTTAGGCCAGGCTCAGTGGCTCAAGCCTATAATCCCAGCACTTTGGGAGGCCGAGGTGGGCAGATCACTTGAGGTCTGGAGTTCAAGACCAGCCTGGCCAACATGGTAAAACTCTGTCTCTACTAAAAATACAGAAACTAGTCAGGCATGATGGTCGGTAGCCTCAGCTACTCGGGAGGCAGAGGCAGGAGAATTGCTTGAACCCAGGAGGTGGAGGATGCAGTGAGCTGCGATTGTACTGCTGCACTCCAGCCTGGGTGATAGAGCAAGACTCTATCATGAAAGATTTCTTTATAACAGAAGTTTGATTAACTATAATGAAATAACTGTTCTGAACATGTATGTATCTAATTAAAGAGCTTTAATATACATATGACAGAACTATGAAAAGAAATCACTATTATAGCGGGAATTTCAAAACACTTATCTCAAGAACTGATAGGGCAAACAGACAAATACGTAAAGACACAGAAGATATAAATAAGACCAGTGATCAAACTTGATTTCTTTTTTTTTCTATACAGAGCCAATAATTAAAAAACATAGATTCTCCTCAAACTTACTTGCAACGTTCACAAACATTAACCTCAGGAACAGGTAACAAAGCAAGTCTAAAACAACTTTAAAAGAATCCGTGTGGGCAGGTTCAGTGGCTCACACCTGCAATTCCAGCACCTTAGGAGGCTCTGGGGGAGGATTGCTTGAGCCCAGGAGGTCGAGACCATACTGGATAACATAGAGAAACCTTGTCCCCATTAAAAATAAAAAAATTAGCCAGGTGTGGTAGCACATGCCTGTATGTACAACTACTTGGGAGGCTGAGGTGGGGAGGATCACTTGAGTCCCAGAGGTCGAGGCTGCAATAAGCCATGATTGTTCCATGTACTCCAACCTGGGGGACAGAGCAACAGCCTGGAGCAGTGGCTCATGCCTTAATCCCAGCACGATGGGAGGCTGAGGCAGGCAGATTACCTGAGGTCAGGAGTTTGAGAACAGCCCGGCCAACATGGTGAAACCCCGTCTCTACTAAAAATACAATATTAGCCAGGTTTGGTGGTACACGCCTGTAATCCCAGCTGCTCAGGAGGATGAGGCAGGAGAATTGCTTGACCCAGGAGGCAGAGGTTGCAGTGAGCCAAGACCGTGCCATCACACTCCAATCTGGACAACAAGAGGGAAACTCTGGCTCAAAAAAAAAAAAGAAAGAAAAGAAAAGTAAAAAGAACGAGCAGTATATACAAAATCATACTGCAATTAAGTTAGAAATCAATGACAAAAGAGAAGAATATTTTGTAGCCTCTAAAACACTGTTATATCAATATATCATCATAAGGTGCTAAAATGTGTGTGTGGTGAAGAGAAAGGTTTATCTTCTCCCTCAATTAAATATGGTTATCACCTCAATATGGAGATTTAAAAATACATTTCTAAATAATTCCTGAGTCAAAGAAGAAACCATAATGGATACTTTAAAATACTTAGAAGGAAATATAAAACTTATATACAACGAAAGCTGAGGAAATTTATAGCTTCAGATGTCTGTAACTGAAAAGGCTGCACATTCATGAACGAGGTATCTGACAGTTTTTTCTAACAATAAATAAAAGAATAAAGTAGAAGAGATTAAAGAATACTCCGCTGAAGAAGGTAAGAAATTGCTGCTTGTTTTGTTCTTATGCTTCATGACATATACATGCCAATGGCTTCCAGACCTTCACCAGGCAGCAGAATCACTCATTGAACTTTGAAAACTACGACTCCCAGACTTCACTTCAAGCTTACTGAGCCACAATTAGTATGAGGCCTGTGATATACATTATTAACAAATTACCAGCGATTCCAATAAACCCAGGGTCAGATAGATTAGGAACTCCTGCCCCGGGAGACTAATTCAACACCTTGTTACACAAAGCAACATTAAATGATGTTGTTTCAACACCCAAAAGGGGTTTCATGCAGGTCACCAAATAAGCAACTACAGAGCCTTTCCTAAAGGTGATCTAAGAACTAAGGGAGACAGTTGCAACACCTATTCTGCGACCACCAAGAGCAGTCTCAGGGAATAACAAACTGATCACCAGGAGAGCCCTCCCTAGGCACATTCCAGTAAAACTGACCGAGGTCCAAATTCTGAGAGTCCTTGGCCTTGCAAGAAAGCTTATGTGAGAACTTGAAAGGAATTATTATTCATGGTTTGGGTAACGAGCCCATCTCAGAATAACTCCTCCCCTCTGCTGCTATACCAGGATGACATTTTTACATGTAGGCAGTGTTCCTAAGAACATCTGCAGCAGATGGGTGGAGTGCCAAACCACAAGACTGCATCAATACACTCCCTTCAAAAACATATGGCTGGTTGCCAATACACCATATTGATTTTCCTAACAGACTGCACTTAAACTTATCATTTCGCCCATGGTCTGTTGGGTGAAACTGAAATGACCAGATTCAATCACTCTGATGCCATTTCAAGATTTGGAAAGGGAGGAGCAAACATAGCAAAGAACTTATCACAGCCTCAAGATAGTGCAGTCACTTCCACATCAATCAAACCTAGCCACAGCCAGGTCTGTGACCCTGTCAGGGCTGCCATGTTTTTTCAGGACATGATGCTTTCGCAGAAGCTGTTCCCTCTGACTAGACTGTTCTCTCCCTTGTTGCTTGTCAAAGTCCTAGTCATCCTACCTAATCAGCATCTTTCCAACGCTTTCCCCAACCTCCCCAAGATGAAGACGCATACACACTCTAAGCAGCGTGTATGCTCCTCCTCCTTGCTCTCAGTACACCCTACACAGATCCCTTCACAAGAATCGTTATCTCATTTGTCTAGATAGAAGCCCAAATATTGAACTCCAGTTCTCTATTTCTGTATGATCTTGCACAAAGAAGGTTCTCAACCTCTCAAACTCTTGGTCTTCTGATCTACAAAACAGGGATTATAATTATAATCCTACTTCATAGGATTGTTGAAGAATAAATGAGATTATGCACAGGAAGCACTTAACACAATCCCTGGCATGGCAGATGCCCACTGAAATGCAGGTATTATTTATATTTGTTGAATGAATGATCAGAGAGATGAGAGTCAAACCCTATAGAAGACACCAAATCTGGAAGATGAGAGAGAGGTCAGCACACCAAGGGAACTTCACCAGGACTCACGTGAGGTAAGCGTTGGCTCTGGCTACCATTAAAAGTGGTGTTTCAGAGTACAGGGTCAGAGTGAAATCTAAGTTGTGTGAATGCTGACTGACCTCTTATGCTTCACAGCTCCTGCCAACAGCTTCGCCTGGGAGAACTTGTTCTTGGTTTCCATGGGCTTTACAGTCAGTTTCTTCTCCACTTCCTTCTTGTTCTCTTGAGAAATTCCAACCTTCTTGAGATTATTGTGAGTTATCAGTTAAGGGTCAAAACAAGCAAAAGGAAGGACAACAAATATAACCCACTGGCCCTTTGGCTGTGCTATGTAAAGTCTGGACTACTTATTTTAAAAATGCCCCACCCTTCTTTATTTCACCAGTCAAATCCAGCTGATTGAACGATAAATGAAAGAGACCATGGAGGAAGACAGCATATAAAGCCCAAAATAATACAGAGAAGCAACCTCTTTCTCTGATTCTCAATGAAAATCTGAGCACAGCCACAAAACCCGCTATTACCAAGGATATGGCCAGTATAATGGTTGATGGAAAAAACAAAGCTCTTAAGGAACATAAAGGGAACATAAAAAAAAAAAAATGTGGCTTCCCTGAAAACATGCTTCCCTTTCAAGGGTAAAATCAAATTTTGCAGAATGTTGTTATGACTATCAGTGGCATTTAATCTTAGACATCATGAAGAGTAACTCCTGCTCCACTGGTGCAAGGAAACATCAGAATCACCCCAAGGCTCATTTAACATGTCAAGGCTCTCCCTGCCCCAAACCTACTGAATGAGGACCTCTAGAGGCCCTGGAGTTTGTTTTAAACACTCTCCAAAGGTGATTTTACACTTGATCTTAGCCAAAAGGCCGAGAAGTGATCAAAAGTGATTTTAATGAGAAATCCTGTGCATATATACAAGAACTAAAAAGCCATTTCTAAAAGCATAACCAGTTCGCATGTAACATCAGTTTTTCATTCTTGATGCCAATCTCTGGCTCTCAACTTTTTATTCTTTTGAAGTAAAAAAAGGCCCCAAACTTTTGTTAGGAGGTCACTTTCACTTGTTCCCTCCACCAGCCCTCCCTTCTTTCCCTCCACCTCTCCCTCCGTTTTATCTTTTTCACAACTTCTTAGACAACAGGTAAGTATTCTGACATGGTGCAAGTCCTTATTTAAGATGCACTAGTGCCTGGAACAATAGTGACATCTAGTGCCCAAGAAATCTAAGAAGCATGAATTATAGGCCCAAAGGGGTGGGTGGAAGTAGAGGATGTATGGTTAAGGCTATTTGTCTGTGTGTCTTTGAAAAATGGAGAAAACTGAGTTCCAGAAATCATAAAATTCTAATTCTTTTTTTTTTTTTTTTTAGACGGAGTTTCGCTCTTGTTACCCAGGCTGGAGTGCAATGGCGTGATCTCGGCTCACCGCAACCTCCGCCTCCTGGGTTCAGGCAATTCTCCTGCCTCAGCCTCCTGAGTAGCTGGGATTACAGGCACGCGCCACCATGCCCAGCTAATTTTCAGTATTTTTAGTAGAGACGGGGTTTCACCATGTTGACCAGGATGGTCTCGATCTCTTGACCTCGTGATCCACCCGCCTCGGCCTCCCAAAGTGCTCGGATTACAGGCTTGAGCCACCGCGCCCGGCCTCAATAAAGATTTTTTTTTTTTTTTAAATGAGAAGAGGAAGAGGGTAAGAAATTAAATCTCACTCTTTTTTTTTTTTTTTTTTTTGAGACGGAGTTTCGCTCTTGTCACCCAGGCTGGAGTGCAATGGCGCGATCTCGGCTCACCGCAACCTCCGCCTCCTGGGTTCAGGCAATTCTCCTGCCTCAGCCTCCTGAGTAGCTGGGATTACAGGCACGCGCCACCATGCTCAGCTAATTTTTTGCACCATTAGTAGAGATGGGGTTTCACCATGTTGACCAGGATGGTCTCGATCTCTTGACCTCGTGATCCACCTGCCTCGGCCTCCCAAAGTGCTGGGATTACAGGCTTGAGCCACCGTGCCCGGCCATAAAATTCTAATTCTAATCACTCTCTGGCAACTAACTCTGTTCTTATGGACACAAGTTACCTTAAATATTTGCAGTGTGCAATGGAAATTAGGTATAATGTTCAGTACTATTATGAGTTTCATGAATTTAATGTTTTTAGGGTCATCATGGAAACAGATAATGCTAATACTCATTTTTCTTTAATAAAAAGTGATTGGCCGGGTGCAGTGGCTCACGCCTGTAATCCCAGCACTTTGGGAGACCGAAGTGAGCGAACCACCTGAGGTCAGGAGTTTGAGACCAGTCTGACCAATATGATGAAACCCTGTCTCTACTAAAAATATAAAAATTATCTGGGCATGGTGGCATGTGCCTATCATCCCAGCTACTCAGGAAGCTGAGACAGGAGAATTGCCTGAGCCCAGGAGGCGGAGGTTGCGGTGAGCCAAGATCATGCCATTGCACTCCAGCCTGGGCAACAAGAGCAAAACTCCGTCTCAAAAAAAAAAAAAAAAAAAAAAGATATTGCCAACAGTAATTTCAGCTGCAGTGCTTAGGAAAGGTCTCTAAAAGGGAGAACTGAGTGTTAAGGAAGGTCTCTAAAAGCGAGAGCTGAGCAGAGGGCTGAGCTGTGAAATGCGTCCTGCAAAATCTGAGGGCAGAACATTTCAGGCTGAGGAAACAGCAAGTCTGAGGCCTTGAGATGGACTCACAAAGCATGGTGAGAGAGAACATGAAGAAGTCCAGCAGGCTGGAGTACAGTCAACATGAGGAAGAGTGGCTTCAAGATGCAACAGGGAGGTGCGTTGGCCTAAATAATGCAGAGCCTTGTAGGGCCCGATACAGAATAAGACTTTAGTCTAAATGTAAGGGGAAGCCACCAGAGTGTTTCAAATAGAAAAGTGACATGATGCCATGGATGGTTTTTAAAGTTTCCCTTTCCTGTCTAAGGAATAGATTATTGAGGATGAGAGCAGAAACAGAAACCAATTAGATGGTCACAGGAGTTCAGAAGAAAGTCTACAACTACTACAGTAGCAGTAGATGCCAAGAATTGAAGAGATTTGGAGTACAGTTTGGAAGCAGTTCTTGGCCCAGGAACCTAGAGGCATAGGACCACCAGTTACTAGGACTGGAAGGACCAGAAAAAGGAGACTGTGGGGAAGGGCAGTGTGATCAGAGTGGTAGTGATGTGGTACAGAACGAAGAATTCTGATTCAGCAAAGGGATGAATTACATTTGGGATGTCTATTAAGACATTCAAGTAGATGACCAAAAGGCAATACTGAGCCAGAGCAAAGTCATCTTTGCTACTTTCTCAGACCTTCTATGGGGACACTGCATGCTATACCAGTAGAGAACATCTACTAAGAATATAGGAAAGTTGCTAACATGTTCTTTATAACTCAGAAGCCAGTTTCTTCCCTGGAAGAGGCTGACTGCACTGCCCACTTGTCTGAGTCTAATCCCACAAGGCAAGAATATCCCAATACTGACAATTAGGATTGATGCCTTGAGTTAACCCTAAAGGATGTAGACTTTGGACTACAACACTCTTGCCCACAATACAAACTCCACAAACTACTGTCCACTTTTCAGAATTACAGGAATATCAGTGTTGAAAGAGACTTGAGAGATCACCAGGTAGAAAACCTTCTTTCTGTTGATGAGGAGACAACATCCATAGATGCTGATGAGAAAATGCATACCTTACAGGTTTTCCTCCAAGTACAAAGGATATTCTGTATTCCTTCAGTTCTTTCAGTTCTTCTTCTCTTCGTTGCTTTTCTATTAGTTCCTGCTGTCGAGAAACCTCATCAAGGAAGTTGGTCTCATCTTCATCTAAGCCTCTTACCATGTTTTCTGAGGAAATAATTAAACAAAGAACACTTAGCAGGCTAAAGGGAAAAATAAGATTTTTCCTTTCCCCTTCTTTAATAAACAGCAGATTCTTCAGGGGATTAAGAAAAAAAAACTGGTAAACACCATGGCGTTTGAATAGATAACAGGGTATAACAAACAAGACAGTTTTCCCATTACTAAATATTACCACGGAATTAAAATGGGTGTTTTGAGCTCTAAACAAAAATATCAATGCGGTCTAGAAGGCTGTCTCTTTTCCACCACATGAGTATCAGGAGATTTGAAAATCAAGACAATTCCATGGCCAGTTAGGAAAAGTGCTGCATGAGGCAAAAGTGCATCAAAAATATCCCGCAGAGCCCCTTGAACTCTGTGTTTTCTGAAGCTTACTGAATTTGAACTGTTCCTCATACTCCTGCTGCTTCCTGTCCTTCTGTTCCTGTAGCCTCTCATATAGAGATCGAGGGTCATAAACCTCCTCTGGACATTCTGAAAGGAAAAGGAGCGGGGAGAGAGGCGGAGGGGAAGGAGATACATACTTTAGATTGTTTTCATATTCTTTTGGAGTCACAAAAGATTTTAAAGACAAAGTCAAGTCTCTGCACGATCTGAGAATGAGGATAACACAAAAACAGTACAAAGTCCAGTTTCCCTTTGGACCTAAGAGAGGGGCCAGCAGTTCTCAAAGCCAACTCTCAATGTCAATAGCACCCGTGGCCTGAGACAATTAACTGATTGAGGGGCCAGCCCAAACCCTCCACAGCAGCAGTGTTCTCAGTTGTTCAGACCATGGATCTACATGTTTAGATGGAGGAGAGGAGTAGAGCCTCTTGGAAGGCAGTGTGGTAGGCAGAAAAGGGACACGATGTGAGTACCTGGCTCTGCTCCCAGCTGTGCTGGACCTTACACAGGTGACTTCGCCCCTCCAAGTCTCAGTTCCTCAACTCTAAAGCGAGGACAATTGGCTAGGCGTGGTGGCTCATGCCTGTAATCCCAGCACTTTGCGAGGCTGAGGCGGGAGGATGGTTTGAGCTCAGGAGTTCGAGACGAGCCTGGCCAACATGATGAAACTCTGTCTCTACTAAAAATACAAAAATTAGCCACGCGTGGTAGCAGGTGCCTGTAATCCCAACTACTCAGAAGGCTGAGGCAGGAGAATCTCCTGAGCCCAGGAGGTGTAGGTTGCAGTGAGCCAAGATCGTGCCACTGCACTCCAGCCTGGACAACAGAGGGAGACTCTGTCTCAAAAAAATAAATAAAATACAGTGCGGACAATTAATACCTACTCTACAGGGCTGCTGTGTGGATTAAAGACCATTACATGAATGTCACAGTATACCTTTTGGATCCTCAGGTTTTCGAACTTTCTCCCATTCTTCTTGCCTCCTTTTGCGCCGTTCATCTAGTTCTGCCTCAGACACAAACCTCTTTTTAATAACAAGGTTACCATCATCCCCTCCATCCATGATGGAACAACCAATCTATAAAACCGAAACAACAACAACAAAATCATTTCAAGTGAGAACTGCAATTAAATTTCTAAAGAGAAACAAGATTTAGCTCTGTCTCACCCAGTAGCAAACTAAAAATTATTTTCCCACTTTGAATTGAAAAAAAAATTCTCAAATAGTAATGTATAGGCCATTGAAGAAAGCAAGTGAATACATTTTTCCTAACACATCAGGGACTTTTTATTAACATCAATGTTATCTACACAGCAAGAGGACCTGGAATAATTCGTATTACCTGGTGTTCCACAGTAAATCTTACATTGCGGACATTTCTCTGTCCCTCTAATCTAGGCAAATTGGCCTCTTGGGCATCCTATCCTTTTCCCAGCTCTCATCTTCCTTTATTTCTGTAACACCTGACATTTTTTCTTCTGGAAATTTCTGTTTCTGGGACATTACACTATCTTGATTCACCTGCTCCTGCCTCCAAGTAGATTAAGATGGAGAATCTCAGCTATTGGAAGACTTAGTGATCAACTCCAGTCTGTATAGCAGGGAAGATGCAAAACCATGAACGGAAAAAGTGCAACTGGAAGAACCAATATCCCAACTTCAGTTCCATGTACTTTCCTGAATACTAAGCTGACTCTTCATTTATATCTCTTGGGACCTTCCTCCCTGTAAACCCTTATCTGTGCCATTTAAGATTCTAACCAATCCTTCTCTTTTCTCACTCCCACAATCACCTAAACTACTTTATGCATATTTTGACACAGAAGACTCCCAAAACTGTTATCTCTACCTGAGTTTTTCTTCAAAAAAGAAAGAAGGAAATAAAGACAGAAGAGTGTGTATTATTCCTTTTTTTTTTTTTTTTTGAGATGAAGTCTGGCTCTGTCACCAAAGCTGGAATGCAGTGACAAGATCTCAGCTCACTGCAACCTCTACCTCGTGTGTTCAAGTGATTCTCCTGCCTCAGCCTCCTGAGTAGCTGAGACTACAGGTGTGTGCCACTATGCCTGGCTAATTTTTGTATTTTTAGTAGAGACAAGATTTCACTATGTTGGCCAGGCTGCTCTTGAACTCCTGACCTCATGATCTGCCTGCCTCAGCCTCCCAAAGTGCTGGGATTACAAGTGTGAGCCACTGTATCCTTTTCTTTATGGGTTTCTTTCCTTTTGAGTGATTGTAGAATTAACCCTCTAGGCAGACATGTTATGTGTTATTTACAGCACTATGCGCTAACAAGGAGACACGTATTCAATACAATGACTATTCCAAGATGACTACTGACAACAAAAACAGTAAATTTCCACGCTACCACAAAATTAAAGCAGTTAACTGTTAATGAGCTCTTACCATGTACTATATACTTTTTATGATTTTATGTCATTTACATGCTCAGTGACCCTATGAGAAATATTATCTGTTTACAGGTGAAATTGAGATCCAGAGAAGTTAGATTATTTGTCTAAGGTGATACAGGTGGTGAATGGTAGAGCCAAGAACCAAATCCAGGCCTGACATCAAGAATTCATAGTCTTACCAACTTCACCATACTCCTCCCCAGAAACCACTAAATCTTGGTTGAAAACAAAGACATGTCAATTTCAGCCTTCTTCCTACTTCAAATTCCAGTGCTGAGAATATTCATGCAACATTTTTATTTAGTAAAGCCAGAAATGGAAGCTTCAGGCTTGAATACTACTGAGGTTTAATGTAACAACAATAAGACAGAATTGTGAGGTTTAATGTAACTTGCTGAGGTTTAATGTAACAATAATAAGACAGAGTTGTGAAAATTACTAGAAAGAAATGAAATCAACTGACAGACGCTGTTGCTCCCACCTAAAGCCCACAACCTGGACACTTCTGATTTAGCAGCACTTGATGACTCCAGCCAGAGGCTCATTACTAAAGCAGAACTGTTCAGTCTCTGTGAAAACGCCAAAAATTCCTCAAGTTCTACAGGACAACCTCTTACGAAACCAGAGCCAACAATTTCTTCAATGTCTCTGGCAGAGAAAACGTGAACTTTCTAGGGCACTAATGGTTGGGAGAGACATTCTGAACCCTCAATTTCCCCCTTGCTTATCCCCTATTAACTGTTAACTCTCCTTTCTTACCCTGTATTAATCATCTGATTTATTTCCATCACCCATTTTTCCTAGCAAATAATTCAGAGTGGGATAGGTCCTTATAGCCCACCTAATATGATAATCCACCCAACATCTGAATTTACCATACACACCCAGGTCATCCAACTCATATATTAAAACTTCAGGAGGGACCACTGCACTCCCTTCCTAGGCAACCATTCCCTCTCTAAGCAGATTTGACTGTTAGGATAGTTCTTCCTTAAACTGAACTAAAATTTGTTTTACTATAAATTAAACACATAGGTTCAATCCACTGGGACTCTTCAAAAATAATCAAATCTTTTCCAACATGACCATACTTCAGTTGTTTGAAGACAATTTCCATGTTCCTCCTAATTTGTTGCTTTTCTGAGCCAAATATTCCTAGCTAATCTTACAAGACAGAGAAAAATAATCGTGTCTCAAAGAAATGAATTTATCAGATTAGGTATGATTTAAACCTGGGAAATCAATACTAGGATACGGCAATGCCACTGGTGTCCTGGTAAATGTATCTCTTCATTCTTGTTATATATATATATAATATATTATATATATATTAAATATAATATATAATATATAATATATATTATAAATTTATATATATAAAATATATTATATATGTTAAATATATATTATATATTTATTTATAATATATATTAAATATATTATATTTATTTATAATATATATTAAATATATTATATTTATTTGTAATATATATTAAATATATTATATTTATATATAATATATTATACATATATATTTTTAAGACAGAGTATCATTCTGCTGCCCAGGCTGGAGTACAATGGCATGATCTCGGCTCACTGCAACCTCTACCTCCTAGGTTCAAGAGATTCTCCTGCTTCAGCCTCTGAGAAGCCAGGATTACAGGTGTGTGCCACCATGCCCCACTAATTTTTGTAGTTTTAGTAGAGATGCGGTTTCATCACATTGGCTAGGCTGGTCTCAAACTCCTGACCTCAGGTGATCCACTGACCTTGGCCTCCCAAAGTGCTGGGATTACAGGCTTGAGCCACTGCACCTAGCCTATGTTTTTAAAAGGGAAAATTTTAAAAAATCTTCCAATATGCCAAAAAAAAAAAAAAAAAACCCTGGAATTTTACATTTCCATCTAAATAAGAATCCAGAGACCAGGTGTAGTGGCTTACACCTGTAATCCCAGCACCTTAGGAGGCCCAGGCACATGAATCGCTTGAGTCCAGGAGTTGAAGACCAGCCTGGGCAACGTGCTGAAATGCCGTCTCTATTTATTTGTTTATTTTTTGAGACAAGGTCTCACTCTGTCACCCAGGCTGGAGTGCAATGGCATGATCTCGTCTCACTGCAGCCTCCACCTCCCAGGTTCAAGAGATTCTCCTGCCTCAGTCTCCCAAGTAGCTGGGACAACAGGCATGCACCACCACATCCAGCTAATTTTTGTGTTTTTAGTAGAGACGAGGTTTCACCATGTTGGCCAGGATGGTTTTGATCTCCTTGATCTTGTGATTCACTCGCCTTGACCTTGTGATTCACTTACCTTGGCCTTCCAAAGTGCTGGGATTACAGGTGAGCCACCTCACCCGGCCAGCCTGCTGAGTTTTTTAAAAAAAGAACATACCTTCATTTCACTTTAACAAAAATCCCTTAAACTCGAAGGACTTCCTTTCACAGACTTTCTAGAACACATGTAAAGAAGAATCTGAATTTGAAACAGAAACTCCAGATAAAGAATCTTTCCATCATTTATGAATTGCTTTTGGGAAAAGACAATTTATTGCTTTTCCAAGAAATTGCTTTTCATCAATCTTTCCTATGAAGTGTTAGAATTCAAATTCTACACAGGTGAGTTTAGTCTGTGCCGTTATTTTATTTTTTTGAGATGGCCTTGCACTGTCCCCCATCTCAGCTCACTGCAACCTCTGCCCCCTGGGCTCAAGCAGCTCTCATGCCTCAGCCTCTCGAGTAGCTGGGAATACAGGCATGCACCACGACACCTGGCTAATATTTTTGTGTATTTTTTTTCACCATGTTACCCAGGCTGGTCTCAAACTCCTGGACTCAAGCAATATAATCCATCCACCTCAGCCTGCCAAAGTGCTGGGGTTATAGGCATGAGCCACTGTGCCCAGACTATCATCTTATACACACAGGGACAAAACCAGAAATCAGTTGGTTAATGAAAATAAGACATAAAGCAAAAGCATATATTTAAAAAAATAAAAAACATTTAAAGACAAGCATTGCAGGGGCAAGAAGAGGACAAGAAATATATTTCTCATCAGCTCTCAGTGGGTTGGTCTTCTGAAAACATAGTCACACCATCAAAACTAATGCACACTTACAGAAGCCTGCTCTTTAAAACTAATTACCTTAATTCAGGCTGGGCATGATGGTTCATCCTATAATCCCAAAACTCTGGGAGGCCAAGGCAGGAGGACTAGCTTGGGCAACAAGGCAAGATCCCCATCTCTACAAAAAAATTTTAAAAACTAGCCAGGCATGGTAGTCTGTGCCTGTAGTCTGAGCTACTCAGAGGCTGAGGTGGGAGGATCATGTAGAGCCCAGGAGGTTGAGGCTGCAGTGAGCAATGACAGCACCACTGTGTTCCAGCCTGGGCAACAGAGTGAGACCCTGTCTCAATAAATTAATAATAAAACTAATATAATTCTGGCATTCCCTTGATCCCCCCAAGAAAGAAAACAAGCCAAGTTAGACGGCCACACATAGTAATAAATTTCTGTAAAAGGACTAGACTAAAACATAAGACTGCTTTATGCATCTTTTTTCAAATTAGCACTTTTTTTTCCTGTAGATCCTCATTCTCTGGCACTTTCTCATTCTCTGCATAGCTTTGTTCAGGCTGTTCCCTCTGCCAGGAATGCCCTTGCTTTCTTTTCACCCCACGCAAACTGCTGCTCCACCCGCCAGAATCAGACTGAAGACCATCTCCTTTATGAAGCTTTCCAGGACCTCCTAGAGTAGTTAATATGCATTTCCTTCCTTTGTATTCTTGCTACAATCATTCATAACTCTACTACAGCCCTTACTCATTGTGTTTTATCATCTATGACTGTTCCAACAGCTCTTTGTCTCTACAGTACTTATTATTATTAACACGGTGTCTGGCATATTATTAGGTATAGACCAAATACTTACTGAATAAACCAACCATGAGGAGCTAAAGAATCTGAGCAGGGAGGAATGAATTCACATGAATATTCCTAGGTACTGTCCAATGTTAAGTTATAGAGATTGGTAGCCATTAAGCAAGTATTTGCTTTAGTGACAGTATCATGCGAATTCTATTCAAACACCACATAATTTGTTCAATAAGAAACAAAGGACCAAAAATTAAATCCCTTTACTGTATAACTGATATCACCTTTCAAAAATAACTGCTACTTTTCTGATTAAAAATTGTCATTTAACCTGAGAAATCAGTACTTGATGCAGACAGCATTTTTCTTTGAAAAGTCCAAATGGCTGCTTATTCCATAATAAAGAAGTGATAAGTACCTGTCATTTACTGACCTGCTGGAAATAGATAGAGAAGCTAGAAAATTAGATTGTATTGAATTCTAATTCCTACTATCTAGGTAAATTTTCACAAGTTTCTTTTTTTACTCTTTTGTTTGCTAGAGTAATTAAAAACAAAACAAAGGACAAACAGTCCAGGGATATGAGGGATATGGGCTCTAACTGTGATCCCTGCAGGAATGCAGAGGACTTACACTAGGAATGCTTATTTTGCCGTCACTGTGTTCCATTTTTGAAAGAGTAAACAAATGCTGTCAGCTTTCCTTTACTCACATGTTTTTCAAAGTGACTCAAGTTTAATTATCAAACTAAACATTATGTTATTTTTTAAAGGATTTATTTAAGTGATTCAAATAGGGAATTCATGGAAAACTAAAACCATTTCAAAATTCACTTTGTCCACCAAAATTTAGAGTTCAAATTGGCACAAATAAAGAACATGGTTTCAAACCTGCCTGATAGTCAGGAAAAGAAAGTTCTTATATTTCAAGCCAAAGTAACTGTTAAATACTGAACTACTGGGTTTATAGTGGAGACTGTGGTACTTAATTCCCAGGGTCGGGGACAAAATGGGCTGTGTCTTAAATAGCACACTAAACACGTTTTAAAATACAAAACTTACATTGCTGTTCACCAAATAATTGCTATTCCTTACTTGAAAAATGACTCCATTTACCTGGTGCCATGACACAAATTAATGAGATCTGGTTTCCTATGGAATTGAATTCTGTGATGGCAAACTACTTAAATGTTTACTGCTTAAGTATTACATTCTGGCCACCATATACTTCTAATTCTAAAATTACATAGATTGTATATGTAAAAACACACCAGTATCAGATTCCTGTGTTAAGGCTTCACTTTGAGTAGCAAAAGCAATAGGTCAATCCATTTACTTTTATCAATAAATATAGATTATTACTTTCCAAAGTTTTTTACTCTGATGTTCAAGTCACATTATACTTCAAAATGCAGGACAGCAACTAAGAGGAATTGGCCATCTGGCTAACTCAACTATATTCCAAATAAAGACTGTTTTCTGGCCAGAAGGCACTTCTACCAAGATACAGTAATTTAGATTTTTAAAAATTTAGCTGACTTTTCCTATATCATAAATTTTCTTTAGAGAATGACAACTACTAACAGAGAGCCTGCTGTTAGTATTTATTACTAGGCAAAGTAAAGTCAATATTCTAACACTGAAGTTTATTTAACATACTCCAGTGGCAAAGGAGACTAAAAGAATCTAAAACCTAGACCAAAGAAAAAGCAATTTAATCCATATTTTAAATGCTTATCATAAGGAGCAAGAACAATTTGTAATAACCTTTCAGGTATCTATGAAACACACACAATAAGAAATTCGGCCAGGCGCGGTGGTTCACACCTGTAATCTTAGCACTTTGGGAGGCCAAGGTGGGTGGATCACTTAAGGTCAGGAGTTCAAGACCAGCCTGGCCAACATGGTGAAACCCCATCTCTACGAAAAATACAAAAATTAGCTGGGTGTGGTGACACGCGCCTGTAATCCCAGCTACTCGGGAGGCAGAGGCAGGAGAATCGCTTGAACCCAGGAGGCAGAGGTTGCAGTGAGCTGAGATTTTGCGTCATGCACTCCAGCCTGGGCAATAGAGCGAGACTCTGTCTCAAATTTAAAAAAGAAAGAAAGAAAGAAAGAAAGAAATTAAGGCCTGGTGCAGCAGCTCACACCTGCAATCCGAGCATTTTGGGCAGCTGAAGCAGAATTGCTTAAGCCTAGGAGTTCAAGACCTGCCTGAGCAACATGGCGAGACCTCATCTCTGTTAAAAACAGGCAAACAGGCTGGGCACAGTGGCTCATGCCTGCAGTCCCAAAGCTGTAGGAGGCCAAGGTGGGAGCATCACTTGAGGCCAAAAGTTTAAGATCAGCCCAGACAACACAATGAGACTCTGTCTCTACAAAAAAAAATTTAAAAATTAGCCAGGTGTCATGGTGCACTACTTAGGAGGCTGAAGTGGAAGGATGGCTTGAGCTGAGGAGCTCCAGGCTATAGTGAGCTATGAGGGCCACTGGGCTCCAGCCTGGGTGACAGCACAATACCCTGTCTTGGAGGGGAAAAAAAAAGAAGTAAAAAAAATATATATTGATTTGTTTATCTTTCCACAGCGCAAAAGTAGAGTCTCATATGTGCGTTGATCTTGAATTCATCTACACGCACTAGAAGAAAGATAACTAATTTAAATATCGGTTCCCTTAGCTGATCCTCATTCACATGCGCCTCTCCAAATATAAATATCCCTCACTATGCATGATTGTATTCACTGTGTATTTTTTACATATTGTGACTCCCAAATAAAAACTGACAACTTCATCTGGGGCTCACAGGAAGAAAAACAGCCATTTTTTCCAAAGCTGAAAGAAAACTGCCTGAGGACAGAGAAAAAAAACCCAAACCAAAGTATTTTTCCTATTCGCTCACTCAACAATCAAAACAGTATACTTCTGTGAGGGATATGGCCCCACATACCAAGCAATCAACCAATTCTGCAGTGGACACCAACTAGTGGGGTGTCCTAATTCACTTCAACTGACACTAACTACCTGGATGGAGACTGCTTCAGATCCCACAAGTTGAGGGTTGAGCCCCACAAGACTGGCCTCCATTTTAGATGCCAAACACAAGACTCAGGTTGTTTTACCTGTGGTTCTGACCAACTGGCTATTAATCGGGGTTTCCATGATCCCCTCCTTAGGTTTTATTAATTTGCTAGACCAGTTCACAAAACTTAGAGGAACACTTTACTTACATATACTGGTTTATTATCAAAGGATATTACAAAGGATACAAATGAAGGGATGCATAGGGTAAGGCATGTGGGAAGGGCACAGAGCTTCCATGCACTCTCTGGTGCACCATCATCCAGGAACTTCCCATGCCCACCTATCCTAAAGCTCCCTAAACCCAGTCTTGTGGGTTTTTATGGAAACTTCATTCCTTAGACATGATTAATTAAACCAGTGACCACTAGTGGTCAACACAATCATCAGCTCCTCTGCCCTCTCCTTTCCCCAGAGGTTGGACGTCAGGGAGGGGCTGCAAATCCCAACCCTCTAATCCTGCCTGGGTCTTTCAAGTGACCAGCCCCCATCCTAAAGCTACCCAGGGCGGCCAGCCACCAGTCAGCTAATTAACATATAAAATGACACCAATCATTTTAGAGATTCCAAAAATTATAAGAGTTGTATGCCACAGGAGACAGAGACCAAGACCAAATATGTATTTTACAATATCACACTGACTGTGTCAGAATGCTGCAACACTGGTATTCCTACAATCAACATGCTGCCTCCCTGAGAGATTTCAAGGGTGGCTTTGCTTGTACGCTATTTTGTCATCTAGGCTGGCTTCAGAACCTAACCCACATCTCAAGTCATACTCCATCCTCCCTCCCCCCACCCTATGTAACACCACTCCAAGACCAAATTAAAAACAAAATAAAACAACAACAACAACACAGTCCCAGCTACTCAGGAGGCTGAGACTAGAGAATTGCTGGAGCCCAGGAATTCAAGGCCAGCCTGGGCAACATAAGAAGACACCTGTTTCCTTTAAAAAAAAAAAAAAAAAAGGATTTGCATCACAAAAACCAGACAAGGCCAACTAATTTTTTTTTTTTTTTTTTTTTTTTGCCAGGCGAGGTGGCGCACCCTGTCATCCTAGCACTTTGGGAGGCCAAAGGGGGTGGATCACCTGAGGTCAGGAGGTCGAGACCAGCCTGGCCAACATGGCAAAACCCCATATCTACTCAAAATACAAAAATTAGCCAGGCATGGCAGTGCATGACTGTAATCTCAGCTACTTGGGAGGGAGAGGGAGAATCGCTTGAACCCAGGAGGTGGAGGTTGCAATGAGCTCAGATCGTACCACTGCACTCCAGCCTGCACAATGGGAACGAGACTCCATCTCAAAAAACAAAACAAAAAAAATGTTTCTTTAAGCAAATATTTACAGAGAACCTATTACGTGCAAGATACAATGCTATGTACTAAACAGGCAAGTGAGGAACTTACATTCATTCAGTAAAAGAAGTAAGGTTGGCATACAGCAGTTTAAGGAAAAGTAGAACTAGGTTACAGGCCGTAAGAGGAGTAGATGCTAAGCACTAAGGAATTGGGAAAGGAAGACTAGAATAAACATTGGGAAGCTTAACTTTCATAGTGGCTGTGATGACGCACAGTGAAAAGCAGTGGAAATGTTAGGTAAATGAAGAATAACCGTCTTTAACTTAAGGGTGCTGGAAATCACACAAATTTCAAATTCCAAAAATCAGAATACTGGGAGATTTTCATTTCCTGAAACAGTGGGCTAGGTAATTGAGACCAATTCTCCACCTCTGTACTAAATGCACTAAATATGCTGGAAATTTGTCAAAAATAATAACCCCCTTTTTAAATTTGAGACAGGGTCTCGCTTTGTCACACAGGCTGGAATGCAGTGGCATGATCTTGGCTCACTGCAACCTTTACATCCTGAGTTCAAGTGATTTTCCTGCATCAGCCTCTTGAGTAGCTGGTATTACAGGCACCTGCCACCATGCCTGGCTGATTTTTGTATTGTTAGTAGAGACAGGGTTCCACCATATTGGCCAGGTTGGTCTCAAACTCCTGACCTCAAGTGATCTGCCGACCTTAGCCTCTCAACATGCTAGGATTACAGGCATGAGCCAGTGAGCCACCACACCTGGCCAAAAACAATAATTCTTAAAAACGCTAGTAAGATGGTAAAGAATTTGGACACAATCTAGAAGGTGAAAACCAGAAATTAAGCCGTATGTTCAAAATGAATTTCATCCTAAGGATTTATCTGACCTAAAAGCTAAAGTTTTAGTGCCTTTATGAGATAATAGAAACAAGTTCAAGCCAGGAGCCAATCCAGGGAGTGAAGTCTGACAACTACCTCTCTTTCCATCTTAATTTGGTACCTGAAAGAACTACAGCTTCAAGGTAAAGATGAAGTAGGAAGTAAAACAGCAGGAATAATGGGCAACAGAAACAGACCCCCAAAGGGAATTGAGACAGTGGAATTAAACAGAGATTATAAAAACAACTATGCTTTCCACGTTTAAATAAATAAAATTAAGCCTCAAAATTAATAGCGAGAAATAGGAAACTATAAAAGTGTCAAAAACCAAACAGAACTTCAGAAACTAAAAAATGCAATACATGAATTTAAGACTTCAGTGGCCAAGTTTAATAACAATGGAATTAACTTGAGAATAAGGAAATTATCCAGAATGTAGTATGGAAGAACAGAGTAAGAGATATAGAGAAAAGAGTGAAAAGGTTTAGTTAAATCAATAAAGAATATAGAGAAACAATGGGAGGAAGCAATATATGCATATAAAATGGCTGAGAATTTTACAGAATGAAAGACACTAATGCACAGATTCAAGAAGTCTAATAAATACCAAACAAATCGAATAAAAACAAACCCATGGTTCCATACAAAATAGTGGAAACGTAGAAAACTAAAGACAATCTTTTTTAAAACTTATCTACACTTGATTTTAGACAAAACAATCTTAATACATTCTATAGTGGAGTGAAACAATATTGAAGAAGGAAGACAAAGTATGTTCAAAACGTGATTAATAGTGAACATGTTGAAAATGCTTAATTAAGCTTCCATAAAGGTATAATTACACTATGACCCTGTACTTATATTGCACTTAAGTTACTTGATTTACCACATACGTGGTTTTCAATACCTAAAGCAGCTTGACTCTAACCAAGTATCACGATTCTTGGAAGATGAAAGTGAAGACTGATAATCAACTAAATGGTTTTGACACAGTTATTCCTTTCTTATCCCATGAAGCACTTCCCCACAGGGTAAGAGCATGAAGACTTCAGCTGAGAAAGATAATCGGGCAGCCTCTACTTTCAGACCCTTACAAATTGTTCGCAACCCATCTAACTAAAAGACTGTAAAACCTGCTGTCGGCTCAACACTTTGTATCAAAAAAGAGTCTACACGCTGATTCCCTTCAAAGATTTCAGAAGAGTACCTTCCGTCTTATGATGTCCCTGCGAACACATGAATAAACCAAATAACTGAAGAATCGACAAATCTTATCTCACAGGTGGTACCCAAGAGGTCATCGGGAATTCCGACCACCAGACTCGCATTTGGCTTCTTGGGTCCCACTCCTGAACTGCCCAGTCGCACTACCTGGGGTGCGGGGGTCTGAGAATCTGCATTTTAAAAAGGGCCTCAGGAGATCTTGTTTTCCAGTAACGTTTAAGAACCACTACTGCGAACCAACAAGGTCTCCCCTTTTCCTCTGTGTGGACTGACAGTCACAAGAACCACCAACTCCCAAGCATGACGCTTCAACTCTCCGTCTCTGTTCCTTAAGTTTTCTGCAAAACGGGCCAGCTGGCTTGTTTTCCGCAGAAGAAGATGCGTTTGGCACAGCAACCGGTACATGGCACACAGTAAATGAGCTTCCCATCCTGCACTTCCATTCTGGGATTCAACCATTTCCAATCAGGCGCCGCACATAGGAGTGAGTAACCTGGACCTGTTCCAAGACCTCTGGAACAGAGCCTGCTACTCACTCGAAGCCCGGGTGGCCCTACCTAGCAGAAAAGTGGAGAAAACCCACAAAAATGCCAGGCAGTGCTGGGCCCGCCTGAAAGGGTCCTCCCGCGACCCAGGTGCCTTCCCGCCGGCACCCTTGTCTCCCCTGAGGTTCGGCCCGCAAGCCCCTGGTTCCGGCGACTCCGGACACTGGGCGGGTGCGCGGACTGCAAGCAGGCCTGGCCCTAACCCTAACAGCAGCCGCAGCTCCCCATCTCTTCAGCGAGGAAGTTGGAACCCAGGTGTCGCCGCCAGGCCAGGACCGAGGCCGCACTCACCTACCAGCGCGCGGGAGGCGAGACGCCCTCACCTCGGCGGCGCCCACCCCAAACCGCCACCGCAGAGCCTCTCGCTCTTAAAAAAGAAAAAAAAAAAAAAAAGAAAGGAAGAAAGAAAGAAACAGAGGAAGGCAGAAATGAAAGAAGAGAAAAAAAAAAAGAAAGTAGCCTTTGCTTTTGTATTCCTTTTGACCCTTTAGGGCTTCCTGTTCCTCACCGCCACAATAAAGCCCCGCCCCACTTCCGGCGACGTAACCCAATCCGAGGAGCTCTTCCTCCCCTGGAGCCCGATGGAAATCCGGTACCCCGCAAGCAAGCCGGAGAGACTTGATTGGGTCATTCACGCCTCAGGATGAGGATTGGCCAGTGTACGCCTGGGGGGCGGGCTGGTCCCCCTGATCACGTGACACAAATTTTGAAAGGCGATTGGCTGTCAAGGAGAGGGACTGCCACCGAGAAAGGGGCGTTTCCTAGGGGACTGAGGGAGGGCCAGGGCGGTACGAAGCGGGGGTGGGCCCTGCGCGTAATGGCAGCGCCGTGGCCTCGCGTCCATCTTTACCGTTCTCTCGGACCTGTCACAAAGGAGTCGCGTCGCCGCCGCCGCCCCCTCCCTCCGGTGGACCCAGGAGCTAGAGAAAGTCAGTGCCGCAGCCCGACCGTGCTGCTCTGAAAAGCCCCCTGGGCACGCGGAGCGGGAGGGAGTCTGAGGGTTGGGGATGTCTGTGAGGGAGGGGAACCGTCGCTCGAGCCTGGGGCGGGCGGACCGGACTGGGGCCGGGGCAAGCTCTGGGAAAGGGCCCGGGAGAGGGGGGTGGCGTTGGTCAGAACCCGAGAAACAGCCGAGAGGTTTTCCACAGAGGCCCGCGCTTGAGGGATCTGAAGAGGTTCCTCGAAGAGGGTGTTCCCTCTTTCGGGGGTCCTCACCAGATGGGTTCTTGGGGGTCGCCCTTCTCAGGAGGCTGCAGCTAACGGGGCCCAGGTGAGAGGCAGGGATCTAGCTCCTGCGGTGGCTCCTGGTGTTGAGGGGGTCCTGACCTACTCAGGGGTGCCCGGGACAGAAAGGGTAGACGAGGGGACGCGTTGGGGAGGGTTCCTTTTGTGGAGTTTGCGGTCTAGGTGGCCCGGGTGGGAGGCAGACCTCCGGGGGGAGATTTCGAAACGCCTTGGGATCGAGAGGCAGAGAATGGGGCTAGGAGGTAGGAACCAGAACTAGCAGAATTCTACTACAGAGGCCGGAGCTGAAAATGTGGTAAGGATCTTGGGGAGAGGAGGTTTTTGGGCGGTGATGAGAAGAAGACACCTCTATCCATAAGAAAGCCCGAGTGGGAAATAGTGAGAGGGAAACGGGAATTCTTCCCCCTCTCTGGAGATCAACCAGGTGTCTCAGACACAGGATCCAGCTGCTTCCGGGCTTAGAGCCCGAGTCGGGTGGGGAGAGCCCATCCCACCAACACCCCCTGCGTGACTTCAAATTAGGCGTTTGTCTCTGCCTGCTGCCTCACTTTTCCCGTCTTTGGGAAGGGAAACCGACCGACACACAGACGGTCGGCTGAGACTCTGAGGTCCTGTCTTGTACAGTTCTCTGAGTGAGTTTGCTCCCCCTGGAGTGTTGTACTTTGAACTTTGAAGGGTTGGAAGTGTCTATTATTGACTGAGTAGAATCCCTCAGTTTTCTAGGCTCCTCACC